AAGAGAGAAGCCCTGTGTCACTGGCCAGGAAAATAAGTTTGGGGCTTGAGGGCACCTATGTGGCTGTAATAATCATGGGGAAATGGACAGGAGTGGGGGTCGGCAGCCCAGACAAGCAGACCCCATGGACGTGCTGAAATGCCTGGGCCTGGTCCAGAGGGCAGCGGGGAGTCAGGAGAGTTTAGGACAAGGAAGTGCTGTGATCAGTCTAAGACACAGAAGCAGGGGAGAGCCCAGGCTCTGGAGGTGCCCCTGCAGGGGCTGAGACCAGGTGTGTGTCTCAGGCCAATGGCCTGGGAAACCAGGTGAAGGCTGGGGGCACGGGAAGTGGCAGGAACTGGGGACTGAGAGTTCCTGGCCCCGTAGCTCTGTTACTGCCAGGCTGAGCGAGCCTGGACGGGCCACCGATCTGCTGTGTGCCACAGGGTCCTCCCACGTAGAGTTGTCTGTGGGATCTACAGGCCTTGCCAGCCTGGGGCCTGCGACAAACACTGGCTGCTGAAGTGGCAGCTGCTCCTCCCTCTTCCTCGCCAAGAGAAACAGAACCCCCTTTTGGCAGGGGTCTGTGATCTCCCCCGGCCCTGGGGGTGAACCTCAGGGGGCCCCACACCTGGGACGCGAAGCCAGGTTCTCGCCCAGACTGGAGAGCGTGGGTGTGGAGACCCTGGGCCCGTTCCTCCTCCCACAGGCCCGGAGGAGGGGGCCCATTTTGGCCTATCAGTTGTCCCGAGGAGAGATACTCAGTCATGGGGAAGGTGCCAGGAGGGGGCAAGGGAGGCCCAGGGTGACGCCCCTGAATGTGGAACCAGGCTGGGACCATCAGCCCCTAATCCTGAAGCCTAGTGGGTTACAAATGCCCTCCGGGAGGGGCACTGGCAGTGGGCGGGGAAGGGCTCTGACCCTGGGGCCTGTTGGGATCCCGGCTCTGCTGTTCATTCCTTGTGTGTCCTGGGCAAGTCCCTCCACCCGACTGTCCCTGAGTCTCCTGTCTGCAAATGGGATGAAAGAATTCTTCCTTCTTCTCCCGGCTTTATACTGACTGGAGGAGGAAATGTACTGAACTGGCTGGGGTGCGGGCACCCACAGTCAGTGCAAACTGCGAAGTCTGCGTTGTTGCCCTGAGTTCAACACGCCGGACGGCCCGTTCATCCTGGGGGCTGTCACACACACACTCACTCACACTCACATGCACGCTGGGATCCTGCTCCTTCACACCTTTGCACACACGAGCTGTTGATCCTGCCAGGTGTGCCACACTGCGCCCCTCTTCCCGGAACTCCCCATTCAGCCTGGGGTCCCCAAACTGCAGCCAGCCCCTATTGAAATTACACCTGGAGGACTTCACTGCGCGGTGGCCTCCCCGTGCCCCTCGCCCGCGGGGCCCCTGGCGCAGGCCAGCGCGCTCTCCGAGCTCCAAGAGCTCCTGACCCCCAGGACGCCGGGACCCACGTGCCCAGCAGAGCGGCCGCCCCGCGCCCATTTCTCGGCCGAGAGCGGCCGCCTCGCCGAGGACGCCGCTGTGGCGACAAGTGTGGTGGACGCCGCGCTCCCGACCCCCAGCAGTCAGGGCACAGCTCTGCCCGGTCCCGGGCTCACAGGCGCTGCAGGCGAGGGGCGGGCCCCCAGCAAACTCGTCTAGTCTGAGCTCCACCGCGGCCGCCGCAGCCCGCCCTTCGGGTCCGCGGGGCCCACAGGCTGGCTGTCTCTGCCCTGACGCTCGCTCTGCTCCCCGCGCGCAGCGGCATCTCTTGCTCTTTTGTGTCGCGGCTTCGCGGAAGATGGGATGTGAGCATCCCGCGGCTAGTCCCCAGCGCAGCACAGGGAGCGAGGTCTGCCCTCGGGGCAGCAGCCGCTCGTCCCCTCGGGCACACCGGAGCGGTCTCCTGGGACCTGGAGCTGGAACTGAGTCCCCAGGCGTGTATCCGCCCGTACAGACGACGTGCAGGCTTTTGTTATGCAAAAGAGTCTGTCAAAACACTTTTTCTTATAAGTTTGCTTTTTATATATTTTTTCTTTAGCAATAAGAGTTTGTATGAAGTCTTTTTATTTCTGATTTCTTTCAAGCTTCATGTAACCCCATCTAGAGATCTGATAAAGATCCACATTTAGCTCCCTCGACTTAAGATGTGAGGTTTTTTCTTTCTTACTCTGGGTACAGATCCAACTGAGTTTCATACCTGTCCAGCTAAGACCCAGCATTTTTCTTTTCTCTAAACAATTTTTATTTAGCCCTGGCTGGTGTGGCTCAGCGGATTGAGGGCTGGCCTGGGAGCCAAAGTGTGGCGGGTTCGATTCCCAGTCTTCAGCACATGCCTGCGCTGCGGGCCAGGTCCCCAGGAGGGGGCGCACAAAAAGCAACCACACACTGATGTTTCTCTCCCTCCCCTTCTCCCTCCCACTCGCTAGAAGTAAATAAATAAAATCTTTAAAAGAAAAAGTTTTTATTTATTAGTTCTTTTGAGAGAGAAACATCGTTTTGTTGTTCCACTTCTTTACAAATTCATTGGTTGTTCTGTGTCTGTGCCCCGACCCGGGGACCGACTCTGTGTGTGCTCACTCACGTAGAAGCCTGCTAGTGCATTACGCAAAGACAGAACATAGACATGACCTCTGAATTTGGCAACATGGAGGGAATTTATGACCTTGATCACAGGAGATTCAGTAGATTGGTTTGGGCACCAGCATGAATGGAGAGCGTTGAAAACAAAAGATTGGCTTCTAAAAATGGCAGATGAACCACAATGGAAAACATAGGCAATCCTCAACTCCAGGGAATATAAAAAGTTGCTCAGTGAAGAAAAGGTCATCATAATATACCACATGGATTAGCTGGGAGGCATATTTGGGCCTAACTCATAATGCTGGCCTAGCCACTGTGTCATCCTTAGAGCAAGAACACTGGATGCGGAGGGGATGTGTGGGAGGAGAGAAAGGGAAGACCGGAAAGAACTGAATCCTCCTTTTCGAAGTGATGGGTGACTCAAGATCCTGAGCTGAGTGAGGTGTAGGAGCCTTGAGGACGGAGGTGTGAAAAAGTAGCTTTGGGAAGGGAACATGTGAGGGGATTGTAGAAGGGGGTGCAGGGCTACTGAGAGGGCCCGTGTGGCATGTGAGGGCACATATTTCCAACGCAGCCAGTCTGCACAGTAATGAGACTTTTCTCAGCTCCAGCAGGTTCCAAGAAGGTGGTGTTGGAGGTAGCAGGCCCTCCAGTAACTGTGCAGAGGTGGTGTTCCCTTGCTTCCAGGGGCTCCGGTGTGGGCAGCAAGTCTTAGAATGATGAGGCTGGTAGATGTGACTGGTCTGCCCCAAGGCCTGAGCTCTGCAGTTAGTGTAGCCCCGCCCACTTTTAGAGGGTAACTCCGGCCTGAAGTTCCAAGAGGGCCAGGTGCTGGGTGTAGGCACCAACCCACAGAGACTCAGGACGGCCACAGTTCAGAACAATCCTCGTTCCAGGGCAGGAATAATTGAGAATGTTCCTCCTGGGTTATCTGGAAAAATCTCTTCAGCTGTCAATAAGAATAGCGACATTGATGATACTATACACATAATTAATGGTACGCAGGTGCAGGCCCTCTTCTAAAGCTCGTACATGTTCCAGCGTTTCAGTCCTCACCGAGCCCTGTGAGGTGGGCGCCGGTGTCCACCCAACTTCACACGGGAGGAGAGCGAGGCTCGGACGGGAACGTGACCTGCTCAGGTCATGATGTTTCCCGCCATAGTGGTCGGATTGCAAAAGGCCAGGGGGCTCCAGTGTCCTCATGGCCCCTAAGGAGATGTCCCTGCAAAGCTTGACATCGGATTCTGAGCGAGGAAGGCCCCTCCCTGGGACACTGGCCCCTCCTCGTGGCACTTAGTGGGGAGGAGGCAGCCCTGTCCCCCGGAGCTTCTTTGCAGGACACTTGAGAGGAGGCCCAGAGCCTGGGGGCTTGAGGAGCTGGGACCAGAAGCTAGCTACTCTGGTGGCCCAGAAGCTCCCTCCTCTGGCTGGGTCTGTTTGGCTATGTCTCCTCCACTCCTTTGCTTCCAAAGCACCTGTGCACCCATCTGCAACCCAGTCATGGATGTTACTGGTCCCCATGAATAGGGTCCTGGTAAGGGTAGCAATTGGGGCAGGCTGGCTGTCAGATCCCATGGGGCTCTCCCCATCCTCTGACCCTCACTGGGTCCCCCACCCCCATGTTCCTGCTTGGGAGGGGAGAGATGGTCACATGTCAAGAAGCTGCCTCCAAGGCCCCTGCTTTCTGAGTGTCTGAACCCCGTTCTGGGTGGGTACACGGGAAGAGAGCATCTCCAGCTTCCACAGGAGCCTGGCCCACCCGCTGTGGGAATGGCCCCAGTACCAGTCCCTGGCCTCCATGACTGTGGCGGCCCGGTCCACAGGTTACAGACAGCTGTCTCCTTTCTCGGTGCAGCCAGTACACAGACTGCCTTTGACTTCACCTTGATTGTGTGCTGGTCTTGGTCACTTGTCCTCTCATAGTGCCCGCCCTCCTGATGGGGTCCTGCAGACCTGCAGCCCCCTTTATACCATTTCTGGGCCAGACAGAGCCCTGTTCCTGACACACTAACCCTTTGGGTTCCTCTCACCCCTTCACAGGGGGCTACATGGGGAGATAGGGCCCATAGGCCTCTGAAAGTTTGGAGATAGTCCCAAGAGACCCCATCTCTCCCTCGCCCCAAGTCCTGAGAGCTGCAATGGCAGCCTCAGCACCTGCCACAGCGTGGCCACACTGCTGCCAGTGACAGTAGTGAGGCCAGCAGCCCTCCCCCACCATCCCCTGCACAGTCAGGCACACGTGTGTCCCCAGGCGCCTGAATCACTGCTGACGGCTTGGGACCCGGTGGCCATGGACTCCTGGGGAGCCATTGGGGAGGGGGTGGTGGTGGCCACGTCACCTCAGAGGAAACACCTGTGGCCATAAATAGGCAGCCAGAGCGGCAGCACAGCACAGCCCACAGAGCAGCACCACACACTGTGCCCACCTGTGTGTGCCAGGATGCCCGAGGCCATGCTGCCCGCCTGCTTCCTCGGCCTGCTGGCCTTCACCTCTGCCTGCTACTTCCAGAACTGCCCGAGGGGCGGAAAGAGAGACCTGTTTGACCTGGAGCTGAGACAGGTAAGACCATTGCCCATCTCACGGCTGCTGGGAAGGGCAGAGCCCCAGAGCTGGCACCACATGCAGGGGCTGGGAAAGAGGGGTGCCCTGGGACAGACGGGCTTCAGGGCAGTGCCATGCAGAGGGAGCCAGGCTTGGGGTGCATGGGCTGAGGGGCCTGGGCTGCCAGGCAGGCGAGGACAGGCTGAAAGGCTTCCTGGATACTGTTCCAACCCACACAGGGATGCAGTGAGAAGGGTGTCCCCAGGAACTGGGCTTGGGGTTGGGTCAGGGAGAGCTGGGCAGTCAGCCCTCCTGTGTGCCCATGAGGGCCTCTCAGCCAGCAATGGCTCTGTCCTTCCCAGCACCTGAGGCCTTCCCCACCCAGCTCCCAGCCTCTCCTAGACAGAGGCCTCGGCCTCCACACAGATACTGGCCATTGCCTGAGCTCACCTGGGTGGCAGATGCTACCTGAGCATCCCCTAAGGAAGTTCTGCCAGGCATCTAGCCCAGTTCTCTCCTGCTGCATGTCCTGTGTTTCCCCACTCTTCTGTTTTCATTAGAGCTGAAGGAAATCTAGCCACCATGCTCAATGCCAATTCTGCTCAGGTACAGGAGCTCAGTTCTGAGCTGTTGCATAAACTAAAGTGGGTAGGCCAGCAGACTACAGGTGGCCCTTGGCTCTGTTTGGTGCCTTTGGAGCCTGGGTCACCCAGGGTCCTCCTGATCTAGGACTCAGGCCCCAGCCACCTACCTGGTGAGTGCATAGGCAGGTGGGCAGAGGTCCAGGTGGGGTGGCAGATGAAGGCCAGAGAGGGGACAGGAAATGGGAGGAAGGGGCTGGAGGTGTGGGGAGGGGGCAGGGGACTGTCTGCATGGGGGTGACCTAGAGACCAAGCTTGAGTAATGGGGGCAGGAGAGATGGGTCTGCATTTCAGAGACAGTGCTGGGCAGCTGAGAGAGGGGTGCACACCACGGAGGCCCACAGTTGAGGAGGAAGGTCCTCCATGCTGCAGCCCCCAGGGGAGACCCTCACCTCTGATGGGGTGGGGTGGGTGTGTGGGGGAGGACGCTCAGTAGGACACTGAGAGTCAGTCTGAGTCTCCTGTCAATCAAGGGAGGTTAGTAGCTGTGGGCTCTGCTCCTTTGACCCCCTTTGGGGCCAAGGTAGCTCCAGGGCGACCCGGAAACTCGGGTCCTTGCCGGGCCTCCCCACACACTGGGGCTCTGACCGCCAGCCCCAGCTCAGGCCTGGACCGGCTCACCCCTTCCTTCCCCAGTGTCTCCCCTGCGGCCCCGGGGGCAAGGGGCGCTGCTTCGGGCCCAGCATCTGCTGCGGGGTCGAGCTGGGCTGCTTCCTGGGCACGGCCGAGGCGCTGCGCTGCCAGGAGGAGACCTACCTGCCGTCGCCCTGCCAGTCGGGCCAGAAGCCGTGCGGAAACGGGGGCTCCTGCGCCGCCAACGGCATCTGCTGCGATGAAGGTGCGCGGCCCCCGAGGTTGGGGGCGGGCGGTGTGGTCCTGGGACGGCCCGGGGGTCCTGCGGGTGGGTGTGACCCTGGGGTGTGGGCGGGCGGGTGGGGAGATCTGGGTCCGGTCCCGGGAGCCGCAGGCGCGATCAGCCCCTTGTCCCCCCAGAGAGCTGCGCCTACGAGCCCGAGTGCCGGGACGGCGTCGGCTTCCACCGCCGCGCGCGCTCCATCGACCAGAACAATGCGACCCAGCTGGACGGACCAACCGGGGCCTTGCTGCTGCGGCTGGTGCAACTGGCGCGGGCACCCGAGCCCGCCCCACCCGGCCTCCACTGAGCCCCTGCCTGCCCCAGTCCACCCCACTTGTCAAGCTCCAAAAATAAACTTTTAAAATGCACTGGTTGATGTCTGTCTCTGTCTCTTCAAATGGGGAGGGGAGAGGTCGGGAGCGGGAGAAAAACTGCCTGCAGCACACACACCTGCCCCATCTGTTCCTGGACCCCAAGTTGTAGACGGATCCACCCAAGAGAAGGCACAGACACCCTAAGAAAAGCAATCCTGGGCCAGCAGAGTTGCTGGGACTGGGACAGGGCACCTGGGGGTGGGAGTGTGGGGGCCAAGGCCCAGAGTCAGCCTGCACAGTGGGGTGGGGTCCTCAGGCAGAGGGACAGGAGCGAAGGGGGCAGGTGGGTGGAAGACATCCGTGGACAAGGCAGGGAGAGATGTAGAGACAGAGACAGAGAGAGACAGAGGGAGAGACAGAGAGAGAGCAGGCAGACACCAAGAGTGACAGAGAGAGGGGCAGAAGGGACAAACCACAAAGGGACCAGGAGTTCCGGTTCCCATTTACATCCCAGGAGACTGAGGCACAAGTGGCTTCGGGGACCCTTCCAGGGCCCCAGATTTGAGATGCAATGCCCATTTCATCCACGGTTGTGCCATGTTTGTGTGTGGCTGTGGGCGTGCAGGTGTGCAGGGGTGGGGAGTGGGCCCAGTACCCCCAGACCCAGCTCAGGGCCCAGGTGCTGTCTGTCCCAGAGGGAACCAGGCGCCCCCAGCTGGCGTCTCAGCCACCCTGACAGACAGACCTCGGTGAGACCCTGGCCACCTGTCTCCACCACCTACAGCTGTGGGAACCACACACACACACACACACACACAGACAAGAAAATAATTGTTAGTGATGTGCCCCATGAATCGTGACCACAGTCACAGACACACAGTAGGCCCTGAGGTACACGTTCACAACCACGGACACACTCACAGGAGCAGACACAACAGATTCCAGGAGAGACAGGCCCACGTACACACACACACACACACACACACTCACATTAGCTCCCGGACACACGCACCTTCCACACTGTGAAACATCCATCTTCAGGTCAAAGATGTCATATAATGTGAGGCCGAGGCTGTTCTCCATCCCTCTGTCCTACTTTGTCCTTCTCTCCCCTCTGCTCTTGCCCCCTTTCCCCTCACTCGCCTCCCTTCCCTTCATCCCCAGCTCCCCGGGTCCTTTCTTGCTTCTCTCTTTGTCCTCCCACACCCCTTCCTCTGCCTTCTGCCCTCCAGCCCTCGGTTATGTCCCATCCTTCCTTCCCTACCAGCTGTGTCCTCTGTGGCCTCTCCTTGGATGTCTTGCTCCAGGTCTCGGGGCCACAGAGGCTCCCTCTCCTCCAGAATCCTCTGCTGATTGGAGGCCAGCAAGGACCCCAGCTGAGAGGAGGCACTCTGAGCTGTGACCCCAAGAAGCTGTCTTAGGGCACAGCCTCCTGACAGCCTCAGCCAGCCCTGGGGGTGGGGGAGGGGCAGGTTCAGGCACCCAGCCAAGGTCAGGCTCTCTGTTGGCCTTAGACATCAGCTTTGCTATCACCCTTGAACCTGCCACCTTGAAGGGTGGGGCCAGGGGTCGTGAGGGCTCTGAGCCCTGCTTGTGTAGGCTGATGCGGTCTCTCTCCTTGCTTGTGTTCTTTGTCTTTTGGGGTCAGTTCTGTGGTCCTGGTCTCTCAAGAACCCCTGTGCTGCAGGGTCCCCCAGTGCTGACAGTGTGACATAAAGAGGAATCACAGCAGTGAGCGCTCACTGACGCGGTGGGTGTTTCTAGTCTGCGGACTGGCCGTTCTGGCCTGAGGGCTCACACGGTTCTGTAGGCTCACCTCTGTAGCCCAGTCCTCTGGGTGCCCACAGAGGCAGGTTTGTTTTACAAATTAGTGTTATTTTATAATTCATGCATACTGATTTGTACCATTTATTAGAAAAGATTTTATTTATTTTTAGGGAGATGGAAAAGAGGGAGAAAGAGAGGGAGTGAAACATCGTGTGGTTGCCTCTTGCACGCCCCCTACTGGAGATCTGGCCTGTAACCCAGGCATGTGCTCTGACTGGGAATCAAACAGTGACGCTCTGCTTCGCAGGCCCGTGCTCAGTCCACTGTGTCACACCACGCAGGGCCGCACCATTTTTAACAAAGTAAATTTGGGGCATCTTTTCGTAGAACATTTACCTCTCCTACCACCTTTTGGTTTGGTAGCTCTTATTATGAGAAATCTCACGCATACCAAAAAGTGGAGCCATTAGTCTAAACGCCCTGAGGCCCCCACCCCTCAGCTGTGACAGCTGCTAGCAGGCTCTGATTTGTTTTGTCTCTACCTGGATGCCCCTCCCACTCCCAAGGGACCTTGAGGTCAATCCCACTGCCACACCATCCACCTGCGAACCTTCCAGGCACTTCTCCACAGACACGGGCTCTTCTTGTAGCCACGGCTGCAGACTGTTAGCACGCACAGCAAGTCTCGGCCTCAGGTCCCCACACGCACACCTGGGAGCCATGGCAGGTTGGGTCCCAGAGCAGCGCAGTGACGGGAGTGCGGCAAACAGCGAGCTGGGACCTTTGTGCTGGTGGAGGGTCTTACCTTCAGTTTGCAAAACATACATCATCTGTGAAGCTCCTAGAGTGAAACACGGTCAAACGGCCCGTATCACCCAATATTCAGGTGTTATTCAAATATCCCCAGACGGGCCATGAATCCATCTGTGCAATTCATTGATACCTGAGTCCTTTCTCCCTAAGGCAGGGAGAATGTCAATCCTTGTGACCCTTCCGCCCTCCTATCATCCTGAACTTGATGGAGAGAATGGCTCCAGTCTTGTGCCGGGTCCCTTACAAGCGGGTGTGATCCTGTGACTTTCCTGTGTGTATGTCACCTAGAGTCACCTCGCCGGTTTAGTTCCACATTAAAATAAAGCTCTTCTGTCATGTGTAACTCCCTTTTCTCTGTATTGCTGCCAGGACTGCCTCTGTACTTTCTGAGAAGTGAGCAGGGAGGCGGCTACCTGGGAATGTTTCTTCTGGGCAGTGAGAGGGTTCACAACGCAGCAGTTAAACGGAGGGAGAGTTGGGAACTGCTGCTCTGGACCAGCCCCGGCACTCTGGGGGTCTGCAGGGGGGCCCAGGGGGTTCCCACCAGGACCAGAGGCCCTGGGACTGAGCCAGGAGGAAGCGTGGCGAGTGAGAGCGAGCTCGCCCTGGGCCAGCCGACCTGGCCACCCAACAACTTCACTTGGCCCTGCATCCCCTCAGCAGCTCTCCCAGCTCACCCATAGGACCTAGCTTGCTGCCCTCTGGGACGTCCCCAGAAGAGGTGACAATCTGCCCCTGTGTTGTTGATGCCTGAAAAGAAAACAGATTTCGGGAAAGCATGGGACAGCGGGTGGCAGGGTGTCTGAAAGGGTGAGGGGACCCTGGACTGAGTCCCCTGTGAGGAAAGCTGGACTGGCGCCTCTCTGCTCTGTGTAAGCACTGGGGTGTGGAGCCATGCGGGGCACTCACGCCCAGGGTGAGGTCCAGGGGGGAGACCCTGAGTTCTCCTCGGATGCGTTGGGTGGACATGCAGGCTGGGAAAAGCGCACACCTGTGACCATGTGTCTCACTAGTCAAGGAGCTTGGGGTCCTGTGTGCTTGCTGAGGGACCACAGACCTCCCAGGACTGTCCTCAGATTCCCACGTGTGTGCATCCTGTCGTCTCCATGATGATGTGAAGGGCACTTTGCTCTGAGCCATCTCCTGCTCCTTTCCTGAATAGCCCTCACAGCACCCCTGGGTGCGGGACCCCAGGAAGGACCCCCTCCAACGGCCTCAGCCCCTGACTGGGCTCCTGTTGGTCCCGGGCCTTTCAAAAGCATCACCTCTATTCTCCTCATACCTCTTACTACGTAACTTTTTCTCATTTTTAAAAGCTTGCATCAGGTGTGGCTTACACACAAAAGTGAATGAATGAGGTGGGCGGCCGGATGAAGTTTCATGAACAGGGCACAGCTGTTCACCAGCTCCCAGGTCAAGACACAGAGCAGGACCAGCACCCAGAAGAGCCCCACACTCCTCCCCTCACCGCACCACCCGAACGGTCAGCGACACGGTGGAGCTGCGTCTGTTTTTCAAATCTGCATAGAGACACTCCCACAGTCCTCCTCGGTGTATCTGTCCCTTTCCGCTGTGGCCGTGAGGTTCACAGGCTGCAGGGTGGGGTGGGGCGGGCTCTGCAGTCCCCAGAGTGACAAAGCCCCAGAGGTGACCTTTCCCACCAATGACAAGTCCCGCCTTGCTCCTGTGTCCTCTGGGCTCGGGCCTACTGGAGTGGCGGACCCAGAGCCTGGGGCGTGTTCCCAGGGAGAAGGGTTGGGCTTTTATTGATTCCCCAAAGGGACTTCGGTGCAGGAATAGAGGAGAAGTATGTGAGGTTCTCCCTGTTGGTTGGTGTTTTCTGTGTTGGGGGTCATTTCTGTGTCCCTGGGTGCTCAGCAGCCCCTGGTTCACGGGGCCCCAGCTCGGCCACATCTTCTGAGCAGCAGGGCCTCCTGCGGCCTGAGCCCCCAGCTCCTGGGCACCATGAAGGCCCTTCAGCTGTGGGGGGGGGGTGTCCTGGCCCCAGCCCTCAGGTGTGACTCCAGCGTCCCTCCACAAGTCAGGACGTTCTTCCCTGTCCACTGCTGGCCTGGGAAGCCCTCTTTGTAGCCCGAGGGACCCTGTCTCGGGACCTCGGATGGTTCCTCTGGTGTCCTGCCTGCTGTAGGTCCCTGCTCTGTTTGGAGGAGAGAGCTGCAAGCTGCTTCCATCTCTCTCACGTGCCCGGACTTTCTCCACCCCCACACCGCCTCTGCCCCACCCTGGCTCCACCCCTGCCCGCTGCGATCTAGCCAAATGGCGCCCCCTCCCCTCCCTGGGGCGGCAGGCCAGACTGCTCCCCTGCAGCGGGACCCCCGTTCCCCTCTGAGTTGCCCAGAGCTGCAGACACAGGCCCAGCCCGGCCTTTCACACCCCACCCCGCCCCGTGTAT